CCATTTGGTAATTATAATATACACTTGTCCATGAAATACTTAACCCCATATTGTGTTGTATTTGATATAACTGCTCAGGTAGGCTTAACCTGTAGGTTTATTTTGGGATGGGTGTTAGGCCTAGGAGTCAATTGGTTGCTGGGACATCATACCTAGCCAGTTGTTCTCTCAGTAGGGCTTTGCACCTAGCTTGGTCTTGTGTTGTTGAGCTGAAGTTGAACACACTTTGCCTCAGTTCAGTCATCACTGATCAACAAGCAGCATCCACCACTTAGCCAAAACACCTGGTAAGAGTTGAGTTAGTCAGCCTGTTATTAGGAATAATGCAAGATGTATTGTTCTTACACTTCACACCTAACATCTTAGAGGACAGATCATTAAAGTTGTGGAATTAATCAAACCAGTGACGACACTATTTCAAAAACTAGGTGACAGACCTGCTTTGCCACTGCTAAGGATTTTTAGAAATGTATAGAGAATGAGGGAGTCTTCATGTGGGAATGAACCATAGGGTTATTCTCTGCAATCTTTGCTTCAGGTACTTCAAATGTCTATTGCATCTGTCACAAGAATGGCTTCGTGCAACTGCTTCCTCTACTTTGCCTATGGCTCTAACCTCCTGACCGAGCGCATCCACATTAACAATCCTTCAGCTAAGATGGTGGACATCGGCAAGCTGAAGGTGAGTGCCAAGAGAGTCTTAATACTTTTACTGTGTGTGGGTTCTTGCTACTATGGGTTTTATTTTGTTCTTTTGTGGAATCATAATCTTTGAAAATTCAATTCCTTACGATATATTTTCATTGTTGTGTATTGTTTTTCCTATGAAGTATAGAATAAGATATATATATATATTCTTTGAGGTGTTGGAACTAAGAGGGATTTTGACTGTGATTTAATGCATTTAGAGAATCATTGAAGGCATAAGAATAGGTGTAAGCTTAGCTCCATTTCTTAAGAATTGACTAATGTTATATAATTCTATTTGAAAAGGAAAAGAGCCACAGTAAGAAATGAAAGTAAAACATAAGGTTTTTGAACTCGTCAAGAGTTCCTCTTCAGATGGATAAACAATCAATTATTTATCTGTCCGAAGAGGAACTCTTGACGAGTTTGAAACATTACAATATATTCTCATTTCTTATTGTGGCTGTTTTCCTATTCATCTTCATGTACATGTTACAATGTTTGGATTTGGGTTCATTATTCTCAATCTTTAGGACTTCCGTCTGGACTTCAACTACTTCAGCCAGCGGTGGCAGGGGGCGGCTGCGACCATTGTAGAGGACCCCGGCAACCACTTGTATGGAGTCCTCTGGGAGATTGCCAATGAGGACATGAAACACCTGGATAAGTAAGAGGATTTTTGAAGCTTTGACAGTAAACAAAATCATTGTTAGCTGAGACTCATTTTGTCATGCTGTGGAATAATTTCGCATGGATATGAGTTGAAAGGAATGCATCCGGAAACAGGAAACTTTAGGAAAGGGGCAGCACCTTTTGTGGAAAAAGGGTTAGGCTCCAAGATTTTTCAAAGAGAGAGGGACTTTGCTGCTTTTAGATTGCCCTTTGCAAGGCTTGGTTTTGCCAATGATGAACTGTTCAATATGTTATAATAGATTATCAAACCTGTGCCCTCCCTGGAGATTTTTTTGATATGGCTTGAAAATTAATGTATTACTGATATAATCTGCATTTCATGTATTTTTGTAAAATACAAAAAGCTGCCTTCTCATGGCTTGAAATAGTTTTTATCCTCAATAGATGTACAAACTATTCATTTCAGGCAAGAAGGTGTTGACCATGGCGTGTACAAAGCCATCGAAGTTGACGTTGAGGCATCTGACGGGAAGATGGTGAAAGCTCGCTCGTACCAGCTGATACGGCCCCTGGAGAAAGACCGACGGCCGTCTTTTGTCTACTTGGATGTCATCCTGCGAGGTGCCAAAGAAAATGGACTTCCTAAGGTGAGAGGAGGAAGAATGAGAAATTGTTGTTGATCAAAGCGTAGGGTGTGGTAGCATTCTGATTGTGTTCTTATTGGCTGTTTTTGCTTGATATCACTTGAAGATGGACAACAGGGGGTTATCTTGTAAATTCTCATAGGACCATCAAGACATGTGAGAATTTACAGAATCAGCAAACGTAAGCTCTCCCACAGAAGTTACCCTTTTAATATAATAGTCCATGCAGGCATTAGACCTAGGTAGCTAAAAAATGAAATTGTACCAATAAATTTGTCAATTACCTTTGCTGTGCACGTGTATGAGGTAGAACTTGTATGTCATAGTTTGTCTTCTACTGAGTGTGACAGTTTGTGCTGCTGCTGGACTGGTTGTAATTACACAAGTTGATGTTCATGGGAATGAAAAGAATTGCTTGACTGTGGTTAACCCATTCACGACGGGTAAAAATAAACAATTAACGGGGAAAATGCTGGGCTCATTTTTTATGTTTTTTTGTGAAATATCTCTACACTAGATGGCTCTGCCTTACCAGATTTCAACTTTACTTGAATTGGCGGGAAAATGTATTTTTACTTGTGCTATGAATATCAATGGTTATTTTTATTATAAACATTATAATTACTATAATGTTATAAACATTAGTAACAGCAAAATAAGAATACGTAAAATATTTTCGTAAATTAAAGAAAAGGGTAAACAGGCGAGACAGGCAGTACAAGTACAAGTGTAGCCATCTATGTGTAAAAATAATTAAACAAGTAAACTCACAGTGGGCATGTCACATATACTTGACACCCGGCACGAGTGGGTTAAAGATTATAGGTGAAGGATTAACCACTTGGCACTCACATGGGTAGCTTCATTAACAGGTTCATACAGATTCATTTTGCATACATAATCTGACTTAAAATATTAAGTAGGGCATTTTAGTTCAATAAGACTTAGGACCAGTTGTGTTGTACTATTATAATTTCTTTAAAGATTATTTCTGATTACATTATTTATCACATTATTTAATTTGTGAAATATTTGAGAATGATAGAAACAAAATAAAAAAAATATAATAGTAATGGTAGAAAAAAATTATGATAATGGCAGTTGTGACGAAGGGAAGATTATGATACTGATGTTCATCTTATGCGTTCCAGGATTACATAGACTTCCTGGAAGGCATCGAACACAATGGCTATAAGGGTAAGGTGGAAGTCAACCTGAATATCAACAAACAGAATGCTGATTAAGTGTCAGCATCACTACGGTCTGAACTGTTTGCTCAGTTCTGTGGAAGAGATTAAGCATCTTGAGGACTGAAGATGTGGAATTTTAAATTGTTAAGACTGTATTTTAGTTAGGTGTTTTAAATGTGAGTTCTGATATTTATTTGTAGAGTATTATATTTATTTATTTATAATGTTGGTCTGAGATCAGCCTCTATAATTTATTTTTGAATATCTAAGACAATAGATACTTCCTTTGATGTATTTAGGTTAAAGTATTGATTAAATCTAATGACCTTATATACATGTTAATTTATGAAGTTGATGTAAGTAATGGCATCATAAAAATATTACTATTATTTTCCTCATATGTTACTGGTAATGTCTATCTTATTATTTCTAGTCATTGAATATAGTTCACTTTACGTTGCCATGCATATGACTGTTGCATGGCAGCTGAGGTTGGAGCAGGTGCAACAGTCGGAGATTGAGTAAGAGAAACAGTCTAAACTGTTTTCCTCTTTTTTCTCTGTTTTTAGATGGTGACTTATTTTCTTAATTGCTCTTTGTCCAGTATAGTTTACATGCCATTTGTATGGGAAAGATATTATTTTCACAGTAGCAGTATCACTTACATTTCCCTGACTGGTTTAAGCAAATTTTGATAAATGGAAAAGCACCAAAAGTAAGATATCTGGTATGAATATTTGTTTTTACAAAGGAGTGGATTTGTCATGTTCTGTCAGATTAGTTTGGTAAGCACTCAGTTTACATACTCATTAACGTTAGAAGATGAGCATTGACTGTTTTGAGAAGTTTTATTGCAACATGATGACAGTAACTGACTTCCCTTATGCAATGTTAGTACTGTTGGTTGCAATATTCTTAATGGTATTGATTTGGCAACTTGTAGACATATCAAGACCTCCCCATAACTTAGCCTCTGTAGCCCAGTAACCGTTCCTAGCTCGACAGTGCTCCCATCAGCCAAATAGCAAGTAGGAATGCAGGCTAGCTCACAGATCGGTCCCTTCGCTTGTAGCCAGTTCACTCTTCCCTGCAAGCGAGGTCAGGTTGCATTACTGCAGTAACAATGTAACAAGGCGTTTCAGTGCATTCTTAACCACACTCTTTCAATTACCGTGGAGTCTCCCATACGTTGTAGCATGGATTTAGAGGCCAGACAGTATCAAGTGCCAACCAATATTTGGTGGATTGTTAGTTAGTGTGATGGTCTGGTGTAGACTATGATAAGCAAGTTCTCTGCTCTCTCCTTCTCACTCAACTCAGAGAACGTAGATTTATCCCACAAGTAAAATACCCTGCAGTTCCTTAATGTTAAGGGATTCAAAGAAGTAAATAGGCCTTCAACCCTCTCAACGACATCAATTTATAGAAAAGAGACTTTGGGTAATTCTTTCCTCCCAATTACCTTGTTTAGTTGGCGTATTGTTCCCTCGGCAGTTCTAGTTTACGAGTGGCAGTGTATGATTGATCGTTCTCATCACATTAACAACATTTGTTAATTTCAAGAAGATTGGTACTGGCTGAGTGCAAGGTCAACAGCTGCATGACACAGCAGAATCACTTCATGGTGCTGGATAAAAGTCACGAGAACCGGTTTACACAGGAATCATGTTGATATAAAACAGAACTTTGAAAGTCATAGTCTGGGAAGTTTATATTTAATTGCAATACCTTTTTACCTTTTCAATCATTAAAATCAACTAGCAGGAAATATAGAATAATAATTAACAACTTAAATAAACTAAATAATAATGTAAGGATGAAAATTTGGGCATTTATGTTACAGCTCTGAAAGACTGCCAAAAAAATAAATGGAGTTATCATTAAGGAAGGTTACATTTAAAACTAGAAATATGAAATTGTGTATAAGCTTAAGACATCAAAATAAGTCTATAATAAGCTTAAGACATCAAAATAAGTCTATAATAAATAAAGAGTCAGTCATATTAAGGTTAGATAAACTAAGGGAGATGATTATGGTCAACTGGATACCAAAGGAAAGAAGAAAACTTTTATTAATAGGAACAGTGATGTATTTTCTTGGATGCTGTTAATGTTCTATGGTCTGTTGTATATGCAAGATAACTTAATTTCACATTATTTTGGTATTTGCTCTCTCCAAATTTACAAATGGCACTAAGTGGAGATTTCTATATCTATTCATCATAGTTAATATTCTTCCTTTAACCACAAGAAGAGTAATGAACTGGACAATCAGAGTAACAGTATGCTTGGGTACTGAATGATTGTAAAATGGGTATTTCTTTCTACTACAGCATTTAACTTTTAAGGGAAACCATCTTGCAGCAGGAAAAGTCTGCTTGGTGCAATGCCTTCATTCCTACCGATATGCATTTCTTATTGTCTGTAACTGTAAGCAAGTCTTTTAAATAGAGACTTTGTCACTACACTCAGAATGTAATTATTTTGGTATTTCAAGTTATGTCGTGGTGTATTCAGAGGCACAAGGAGGTGCTAAGATTTAGTGCCATTCAAAGGAAAACTCTCGGCACAGTATTGCTCGATACCAAATTGGGGTTTTATGGTTACCCTTCAGAAGGATATTTTATTTTTGCCTTTGTTTTTTTTATCCTACCTTTTATTACCAAATTTTAATGCATTCCTGTTTCTTGTAGTTTCTGTAGCAAACCTGATTTTGTTTATCCTGTTTAAATTGTCAGGTAAAGACTGTGAAGAGAGAAATGTTTGTAGCTCTGTATTTAATTGCCTGTATTCTTAACATATGTATGTAAATGAACATATATGGTTGATTATTAATGACATGTCATACATCTTTAAAGAAAAACATTGTGATTTACAAGTCTTTATTATAATATTACTTTTAATTTAACACTTTGTAATTAAACTGGATTGGAATGTTTAGTGTATCAAAAAAACTAACATCCATGGTTAAAAGAAAAGCGTATTGAGTTATTTTGAAAATGTGTTTGTGTGCAGAGGTATACTTTATTGCTGTCATTGCAGATATGTGGATGTGAGGGTTAGCAATGTTGCATTATGTTGACCTGGTGGCATGCCCTGGTTGTCCTTTGTTGCATTGGATCACCAGAAGCATCAACAATAATACTGTGGTACTACTTTCTAGTGGTTTCACTGATAGCATCCACAACCTGATTACTGTGTAATCAAAACTTTTACTATGGTCCAGATTTTCGAGGGGCTTTGGAAGTCATCTCATCGTGCTCATAGCACTGATGGAGTAAGGTCAGGTTTTGGTTTTCAGTAAATGTTGTACAGGAGCAGGTGGGTTGAGTTGTGTGTTGTGAGGAAAAGAGTTATGTTCCTCTGTTCTCTTTTTATCCATTGTTTTGGTGTTGTTTCAGTACAGCTATGTAAGTTGGATACCAAAGGAATTGGCATTTGCAGGTGTAAGGCTATTTAAGGACTTGTTTGGTGAAGATATGTAGATTTGTTGTTTTATGTCTACTTTGTTTTAGAGACAGTATTGTAAATCTCTTCCTTGTATCTTTTGCAGGGTTTGTAAGTCCCATTATTTGCAAATGACTCGTGGCCAGGCAGTGTGTTCATGATTTTTGTACTTTGTTTGGATCCAATTAATGAAAGCTTTTAAGTTATTGGGTCAACATATCTTTGTGTTTTATTGCTAGTTATGATTACAAGCCAAATACCTCAGCATGAATATCGTCACAAAAGTGCATGTAATATGTTGAAATACAGGGTTTTTCTTTGATTTTAAGTTTTCTGTGTTGTGTTACAAAAAGACAGGACCAAAATGGACCATTTTCTTTAAAGGTATAAAGGTATAGTAATCCTCAGTACAATATATGATTGCATTTAATTTTTAAACTTTTCTTATATTTTCTTTGAAGTGTAATATTCACTTATAAAATGCTGTTATGCTTTTGTACACTAATGTCACACTGAAGGAATTCGGTAGCCACTCAGGAACCTACTTTGCCCCATCAAGAACTCATCTGTGGCATGCTTGTGAAATTTTCAGTATTGATTTAGTTCCTAATTTGAAGATACAGTCTTGCTTGAAAAATGGTAAAAAAAGATTATCACTCTCTACACTGGCATTTGTTATTTCTCATTTCCTATGTGGTATTTAACTCATCTCAATTATACTTAGGTCAATGAACTCTTCCTTAGGTCGTCCTTACCCCACAGATGGTTCTGTGGGCTTAAATGCCTCCTTATTGGCTTAGGTGTTAGGCTGCCTTATTTTAGCATAAGCGTCAAGGTACTTAAAACTCTTGCTGCTCTAACTCTGCCAACTTCAAACAATAAAGAAGAGATTAAAACTT